TGCCGCGGAGTAGTTCAGTATGACCAACATCACAAAAAACAATCTAGTATTAAAGTTACCAATACTCATATACACGGGTACCGACTTTAAATTTTTTTTGTCTACCACTGTATGTGATACGAATTAATGTTTAATATACTTTCTGCTACATTAATGACAACAGTAATGATACACAAGCTTTAGATGATTAAACGTACTTTAGTTACGCTTACATTGGCTCTGTAGTGTAAAATGTTTTTAGCTGGCTACGTCTATTATATTTGACTCAACACAACAGCCAATTAAACTCCCAACAAGTCCTTTGGAAGAGGATGACCTTGTTACAATTGCTGCCTGGGGTCAACCAGGCCCCTCCAACCCAGTGGGTCCCAAATTGGAAAAAATAGAAAATGCAACAGTCATACTTCCAGAAGAATGCCGGTCTCGCTTTGGTAATTACAGCCAGTTCCTTAAGATCCTTCAGATTGGCAAGAAAGACATCTGTACTTTTATCAAGCCAGGAAGAGGAACGTGCAATGTATGTAATTTTATATTATATATATATGACAAAATGCCTGAATGCACTGCATTTAATTTTATTATTGTACATCTTTTTTTGATGTCACATCTTTTATAGATTTAACTTTCCGTTTGTACATTTTGTAATTATTTTGTAAGTATCTTATTAAATCGATTATAATGTGGTATTTGATATCACTTGCGTTCAAATATTACGTCTAAGTAATCCAAAATAGTATTTTACATCATAATTAATTCATGTTTGTGTGCGGTAACAGTACTGATCCTTAGAACACAGAATTCTTATATCGCATTTCTCTATTTATTATCTTAATTATTTATAGCAATGATAACGTTAAACTATCTGTATAGTAAATTTTATCGTTTTACGTAATACTAAATTTTGTTAAATAAATAATCTATTCTTTTTGTTTTAGGGTGACAGCGGTAGCGGTCTAATTCGAAATAACAATCAGATTCAAAATAGAGAAGTTCTCGGTGTGGTATCTGGTGGAATACCGTGCGCCATAGGTTATCCAGATGTATATACTGCTGTTTCTTTCTACGTTCCTTGGATCAACAAAAAAATGGGGGAAATGTAAAATAATATTATTCCTTTTATGATGAATATTCTTAATTAACACTTACAAGGAAGTTTGCGAATCCGAAAATTTAGAAAAATCTGACTTTTAGTGTAAAAGTAGAGCAGTTCATCTGTAGCATGAAACTATTTTTCGTTGGTGCTCACATTCGTTTTAAAGGGATGAAACCACCCCTAATTGAAAAAAATCGGTTTTTTTCTTCCAACGTGAATATCATCGAAACTATGAGCGATAGAAAAAAATATTTTAGATCAAAGTTGAATGGCTTGAAGTAAACTTTATGATAGTAGAAAAAATTTTTTTTTTAATTTTTTTAAATGTTTCCCCCACCACTTCACATTTCTTTTTTAATTTTAAAATTTTTTTGTGACTAAATTAAAGGTTAGTTTAATACGAATTTAACCATGTGTGATAAAGTTATTTTCCGAAGTATCATTTTCGAGAAATAATTACAAACGCCTCTATGTGCACATCATCCGTACTCGCTTACGCTGTTAATTATATTATAATACAACAAAATACTTAATAATAATTATAACAAAAGATCAGGTACTTATTGTACAGCAGACTGTAATAAAAAAAACGCAAGCGAGAAGCCGAAATCGTCGGAATAAATGATAAAATTGTTTGGAGAGTTAAATATTGTAAAGTCGATTTTATAAAGTATTGACTTTTCAGTCAATACAAAACAGCGGCTGCGAACAATATACTAGCAGTATGGTAGGGATATTTTGTAAGTTTGACTGTTTTTGTAAGAGTCGCACGCTGAGAGTCGACAGATTTTCCCTACATCAAGAACTAAAAAAATCTTTTTATCGAAAACGAGGCAAAACACGTTCTTGAGTTTTTTTTCTAAGATATAGGAAAACTGAAAGTATATGAAAAATATTTTTTCAGATTTTTCGACTCTCTCCCCGATTGTTAAAAAAATTGTTGAAAAGTTTATAGTTAAATAAACCGTGGAAAACAAAATATTTTTGGAATCTTCATTTTTTTTCCCGTAAACTAGAACATTTTTTCGCGTATTTTTAAAAAAAAAAGACAGTTAGCTAGCATTATTTAGTAAGAGCTATAAATTTTTGTAAAATAAAGTAGCCTAATTTTTAATTGTTTATATCTCGATTAATTTTGCAATAAAAAAATCCTTTGGCACAAAATTTTATCTCCCAAAGTACTACCTTTGTGCAAAATTTAAAAAATTTCTGAGAGATGACTGATCCGCTTCACGTGGAATAGCCCATATACAGGGTGTCTTATAATAGGTGTATCACCGTTCATAGGTAGGTTGAACGGACTAAACTGAATCGAAAAGTCCTCTACCATTTTGCAAAATTCGCAATCGTAAACGAGACATTAATTTTTGAAAATTGACGAATAAACGCGTATTCATTCGGCCCACCGCTGAATGCAAGTGCGTGACAA